GAGTATACATCTGTGCATGGGTGAGGAGTCCTCCCACCCTTGGCTCCATGCTCTGGGATGCAGCCGGGGAAGATGCAGGCTGGGCTGGCAGTGGCAACTGTGCAGAAGTGGGTCGTGCGTGTGTAGCTATGAGCACTGATGGGGCTCACAGATGAAGGCTTCACAGCCAGCACGAGGAGGTCTCGACTTGCACCAGCTACTGTTCTCTGCACTACCACGCATTAACTCACTTAGTCTGGCACAACCCTGAGGCCTTGCCACTGCCCCCAGGAAAACTGAGGCAGAGAGAGGAAGGACCCAGCTAACAAATGAGTTAGTGCTAGAGAACGGATTTGAACCCAAATTTAGCTCCAGGACCTGAGCTTTTAACTGAAGGTTGCCTCCTATTGAATTTAATTCAGAAACATGAGTGTGAAGGCTGCAGGAGACTTGTGTAACCAGGTTCCTTCCAATTCCCTGATGCTGGAGCGAGATGGGGGATCCCTGGGGAACACTGGTTGGTGCATACGCGGGTGGGCTCCTCCTGGTGCTGTTAACCCCCACTTCTCCAGCCGGAGTTTTGTTTTGCCCACCCCCGGACCACCTACAAGAAACACCACTTTGGGTATTGATATGGTTTGGCTCTGCGTCCCCACCCAAATGTCATCTTGAATTGTAATCCTCAAGTGTCAAGGGAGGGACCTGGTGGGAGGTGATTGCTTCATGGGTGCAGTTTCCCCCATGCTGTTTTCATGACAGAGTTCTCATGAGATCTGGTTGTCTGATAAGTGTGTGGCTTTTTCCCCTTCTCTCTCCTGCCACCATGTAACACACGACTTGCTTCTCCTTTTGCCCATGACTGTAAGTTTCCTGAGGCCTCCCCAACCATGTGAACTGTGAGTCAATTAAACCTCTTCTCTTTATAAGTTACTCATTCTCAGTTAGTTCTTTATAGGAGTGTGAAAACAGACTAATGCAGGTATAAAAGTAGACTCCTGGCCTAGTGTGGTGGCTCATGCATGCCTATAATCCCAGCACTTTCAGAGGGTGAGGCGTGTAGATGGCTTGAGGTCAGGAGTTCGAGACCAGCCTGGTCTTGAACATGGTGAAACCCCATCTTTACTAAAAATACAAGAATTATGTGGGTGTGGTGGTGCATGCCTGTGATCCCAGCTACAGGGGAGGCTGAGGCATGAGAGTTGCTTCAACTCGGGAGGTGGAGGTTGCAGTAAGCTGAGATTGCACCATTGCACTCCAGCCTGGGCAACAGAGCAAGACCCTATCTCAATAAATAAATAAATATACAGAAAAAAAGAGTGGATTCCCCATTTCCTCAATATCACCAGTGACGCAGCTACCGGAAGTTTATCACTTTTCTTATTGGCCCCCTATCTTCTAACTGCTGCCTCCTGGATTCAAGTGATTCTTCTGCTTCAGCCTCCTGAGTAGCTGGGACTACAGGCACGCACCACCACACTTAGATCATTTTTGTATTTTTAGTAGAGATGGGGTTTCATCATGTTGGCAGGATGGTCTCAATCTCTTGACTTCATGATCAGCCTACCTCAGCCTCCCAAAGTGCTGGGATTACAGGTGTGAGCCACTGTACCCAGCCTTTTTTTTTTTTTTAATTGAGGTAAAATTGGCCAAATGTCAGCCATTTGCGAGAGAACAATTCAGTGACGTTTAGGACATTCACAAGGTTGGGCATTCATCTGTCCAGTTTCAAATCATTGTCACCCTCAGAGGAAATCTGTACCCATAAACAGTCACTCCCATTCTCCCTCTCCCAGCCCTTGGCAACCAGTAACCTGCTGTTTGTCTCCAGGAATTTGCCAGTTCTGGACACTTATATAAATGAAATCATGCAGTAAGTGGCCTATTGTGACAGTCTTCTCTTCACATGGTATTTTGCAGGTTTATCCCCATTGTAACATGGGTCAGCACCCCATTCCTTCACATGGCGGAATAATATTCCATTGTGTGGACAGACTGCAATTTGTTTATCCTCTCATCCACTGACGCACATTTCGGTTGTGAATAGCGCTGCTATGAGCATTTGAGTACAAGTATTTGAATCTTCACTTCTCTTGGGTCTACACATCCAGGGGTGGAACTCCCGGGTCACATGGTAACTCCATGTTGAACACAAGCTGTTTTCCACAGTGGCGGCACCTTTTACACTTCCACCAGCAGTGCACGAGCGTTCCTGTTTCTCCATATCCTTGCCAACATTTATTTTCTCCTTTATTAAAATTTTAAAAATTACAGCCGTCCTCCAGTAGAGAGTGTATATCTTTTTTTTTTTTTTTTTTTTTTTTTGAGACACGGTCTTGCTCTATTGCCCAGGAGTGCAGTGGTGTGATCATCCCTCTCTATAGCCTTGACCTCCTGGCCTCAAGGAATCCTCCCACCTTCGCCTCACAAGTAGCTGGGACTACATGCAAGTGCCACCACACCTGGCTAATTTTTTAATTTTTTTTTCTTTTTTTGGACAGAGTCTCACTCTGTTGCCCAGGCTGGAGTGCAGTGGTGCGATCTTCGCTCACCGCAACCTCTGTCTCCTGGGATCAAGTGATCCTTCTGCCTCAGCTTCCTGAGTAGCTAGGAGTACAGGTGCCTGCCACCACGCCCAGCTAATTTTTGTATTTTTAGTAGAGACAGGGTTTCATCATGTTGGCCAGGCTGGTCTTGAACTCCTGATCTCATGATCCGCCTGCCTCGACCACCCAAAGTACTGGGATACAGGTGTAAGCCACTGTGCCCGGCCTATCCCTCATTTTTAAAAGCAGAGCTAAGATGCCACTTGGCCCCACCTCCACAGATCCAGATGAGAAAAATGGGGTTTTCAAGTCCAGTGCCCTTCGTAGAGAAGGATCATTGGTGTAAATGGATTGGGGCCGGTGGAAGCAGCTGACCCAACCTTCAGAAGAAATTCAATCTTCCCCTTGGCCCAGTAGCCATGTGGACAACTCCAGACATGGCCTGCTCATGCCCCAACTCCAGAGTGGGCAGAGCTCACATGAATGGACTCCCTCAAGTTCTCCAGAGAGGTATAGGTTCGGCTAAAAAGTCCAACTTGATCTTACTAAAAAAAAAAAAAAAAATCTTGGCCAAGTGCTCATGCCTGTAATCCCAGCACTTTGGGAGGCTGAGGTGGGCAGATCACGAGGTCAGAAGTTCAAGACCAGCCTGGCCAACATGGTGAAACCCCATCTCTACTAAAAATACAAAAATTAGCTGGGCATGATGGTCCAAGCCTGTAGTACCAGCTACTCGGGAGGCGGAGGCAGCAGAATAGTTTGAACCAGGGAGTCAGAGGTCACAGTGAGCTCAGATTGCGCCATTGCACTCCAGCCTGGCGACAGAGGAAGCCTCTGTCTCAAAAAAATAAATTAGCCAGGCATGGTGGTGTGCACCTGTCTGTAATCCCAGCTACTCAGGAGGCTGAGGCAGGAGAATTGCTTGAATCTGGGAAGCAGAGGTTGCAGTGAGCCAAGATCGCACCATTGCACTCCAGCCTGGGCGACAGGGCCAGACTCTGTCTCAAAAAAGAAATATCTTGGCTTCCATCAGCTCCTACTGCAGCTGAAGGACAGTGGTCCTGACTCAGCCCCCAGCAGGAGGAGTCCTCTGACCCCTGTGCCATATACTGTCTGATTTTCCATCCTTGGCTGTTCAACAACTAAGCCGGTTTCAAAAAGGGTCTGTCTGCTCTCCAGAGAGGCAGGCCGGACTGTGATATCATTATGGGTCTGGACGTTGGAACTGGTCTTGAATCCCAGCTTGGCCCTCTGCACTGGGCCATGAGTCTGGAAAAGTGACTTCTCAGCGCCTGTTTTCTGTGCTGTAAAATGGACAGAATGATAGTGCCTTCTTCCTAGGGCTGTTGCAAGGATAAAGTGACCTAACACGTGAGGTGCTGAAGATGGGCCCCATTATATAATCTTTCAATAGGAGATCCGTATCATCATTGGGAGCAGTCAATGGGGTTAAGGAGGGCGACAGTCAACCCCTCACCTCCCCACCTGCAAAATGTCCTCCCCCACAGACAGAGCGTCCCTGTCTCAGGCACTGGTTTCTGGATGAGACTCTGTCAGCAGGAACTCTCCCTCCCCAAAGATAAAAGGGCTACAGGCTGGGCATGGTGGCTCACTCCTGTAATCCCAGCACTTTGCAAGGCCGAGGTGAGCAGATCACTTGAGGCCAGGAGTTCAGGACCAGCCTGGCCAATGTGGTGAAACCCCATCTCTATTAAATTTAAAATACAAAAATTACCCAGGCGAGGTGGCACATGCCGGTGATCCCAGCTACTTGGGAGACAGGAAAAGCGCTTAACTCAGGAGATGAAGGTTGCGGTGAGCCGAGATCCCGCCACTGCATTCCAGCCTGGGTGACAGAGCCAGACCCTGTCTCAAAATTAAATTAAAATTTAAAGGACTAGAGGCCACTGGTCCATCTGACCTTGTTATGAAAGGTGGAAAAAAATGTAAACCCGCTCACCACACCTACGTTATGCCATGCTATGTGACCTAAGATGAATACTGCCTCTTTTCATGTGATTTCAGGAGGGAGTCTGCAGACGTCCAGCGCACTCGCCTGTCCTTACCTAACCTGGGCCTTAGGGTAGAGTTGCTAAGCTCTTTGCCCCTTGCCTCCAGTGGAGATCTGTATTTGAATTATCTCTTCTAAGTACTACCAGTCTTTGTAGATTTATTGTCTCTGGACAGCGCAGTAAGAGTGAACTATAGAGAATTCTGCTTTCCACAGATGGAATTCTGCCTCATATTACTAAGCCCTTGATATCAAAGTCCTCCAGTCCTTTGAAATCTATTTTATTTCTCTCTTCTGAGGAAAGCACATTTGAAACCATTTTTCAGGGAAGACAGCAAGGAGACTTATGGTGACAGCGATGGAAGAGGCTCAGGCAGTGACTGGTGTGTCTGCCAAGGGACAGACAGATCGCAAGCCAGGGTCTAGGAGATGACACCCAGACCGTTAAAATGACAGAAATGACAACATTCCATACACAAATCAAGCTGTATTGACAATGCTGAGTTAGCAGGAAGCACTCTAAAAACCAGAAACAGTTAGAATGCCTTCCCCATCAAATTATTTTATTAGGTTAATGAAACAGCTTAAAGATAATTCATTTTGTGTGGTACCCTTCTAGAAAATATTTCAAGTTTTTAAATGAGCTTCCAATACATAAAACAAAATTACTTTAGCATACACAAATTTCAGATCAAAATACAACACTCTGTTTCTGTTTTCTTACAGTTATAAAATCCAGTCAATACAAACTACATAAAAAAGATAAAACACTTTCACTGATCCTTGGTACAAGAGAACAGCATGATGGCAAAATGTTCCCCAAGCACAGGTCCTGGGTTCGTGAGAAGGGACCAACCCCACAATATACTGAAGCATGTAAACAAAGTGCGTGCTACTTAACTTCAGAAGGTTAACAAATCCTTTTTTGGATCAGTATTACTTGTAAACCATAAAGCAACTTTTTAAAAGAAAGGTTAATTTAAAAGTACTTCTGACTGCTCAATTTCTTACCAACAAGTGAATATAAATTATTCCACAAAACAAACTAGTACCTTTGGACTACAGGATGTGAGACGTGACATTTCAATGAAATCAACTTAGCACAATTTCTCTACTATCCTACTGAACTTGGGGAGTATGATTTTACACGTAGCAGCCTTCTAGCACTTTCGATGTTTGGAACTTTCTAAACAATGCCTTTCGTTTAGCTTACGTATTTTCATTGCAAATCCCTGTTTTTCAGTAGTACGACTTATTAACGATAGGATAATATCACACACAACACAACCTTAACTAAGTACGTGTCTAAGCAGACCTCTGTACTTGGAATTCTATTAAATAAGAGAGTTGCAGGACTTTTGGTGCGGTATTTATATGGTATTCATGGCATCTTCCTTATGGTATTCAAAGCATCAAAGTGACAAATCAAGACTGCTAAAAATCGGTCTTGGATGAGGGTGACAGTCACATATTCAAGGGTCCCGCACAACACTGGCATGAGCCAACAGGAGCCACGCCGGCCACTCGCTGGGCCAGGGCCAACTGCCAACAGCGGCCCTGAATTTGGGAGGGTCAAATCGAATTTACAATCTTGTTTTCAGGAATTTCCTTGGCAGTTCTCTTTCATGGCAGAAGACCTACACCCATGATGGAAAACAAAAGAATGTACACCTTTCTAGTGTGTCATGAATGGGCCGCACTCACAGAGACATCACTGTCATTAGTGACACACAACGAAGTCTGCCCGCACCTACCCGGAGCATCTGCAATACAGTTTCTGATGAGGATGGGAATGTGTGGAAGTGGGCAGAGCAGGGGGTGCTTTAATCAGCAATGCCGATCACTTCCAGGCTGCTGGTGCACACCCCAACGTTGGCTGCAAAGTTGTTTAAAACTTCTGCTGAAGCCACGGTGATTACCTGATGGCTGTGACAATTCACAAAAATGATACAAAAACGAAAGGCGCATCACCATGATGTCGCCGGTGAACTGGAGGGGTGCAAGAGCCAGCACCCAAACAAAAGCTGAGTTCCAAGTGAATTCAAAATGAAAAGAACCCCAATGGCAGAGAAAGCAAGTTTTGCTAACAAATAGCCTGTGCTTCTCTTAACTAAAGGCCACTTGATACATTTTCCAACACAAAATTTTTATTCAGATTATCTTTGTTTTCATGGAGAGCTTGAATTTTGAGGTACGATCTAGGAAAAAGATGTTACCACCCACACAAATGGAAGGCTTACTTTTTTATTTCTTAAGCTGATGGTATCTTTTTGCCCGCCCCATGTACCAGGTCCTACATTTTTTTTTTTAATAAAACATAACTCAACTGTAATGAACATATGCTAGTTTAATAATAAATTTACTGAAGTTTCTTTTGAAGCACAAATTCCTTTTGGAAAAACACATGAAAAGGTGGTTTGTCTTATAAACAAGCAGTTCTAATTTCCGATCCCATCCATGATTTGGAACACTGTGTGTTTTTAAGTCAGAGTTGAAGAGGAGATAAGGGCTGCACTGCGCTCTGCTCTGGACAATCCGAGCTGGAAGGGGACAGAGGAGAACCCACACGGAGACTCCCCATCCGGCTCTGCAGACAGATGGATGGACACAGCAGAGCGCCTGTCACGAGAGGCCACCCGGACTGGGCACGTCAGGGAGCACCGGGCTGCACTGGGTGCTGAGGCTGTGCCGGCCTCCTCTCCCGGCTTGGATGGGAGCCCTGAGGGCTTGTGGGGCTGGCATGGAAGGTGTCATTCTAGCCTACAGGTGCCTAAGGGGCTGGGATGTGTCCTTGGGGGTGCCTCAGAAGGCGAGGGGCCGTTGTGACCTGGAGCCTGGGGACAGATCTGACTCACAGGTAGGCCCAGCTGGCTGTGGAAAGTGCTAGTACGAAGGTCTGCTCAGCGATCCCTGAGGCTCGCGCCCTGGGCATTACGTGGTAGTATGAAGGTCTGCTCAGGAATCCCCGAGGCTCATGCCCTGAGCATTACGTGGTCTGAGGAACCAGAAGAGCTACTCTTCTCGCCCTCCCCAACTCACTCCAACTCTTTTCATTTTTTATTTTGGCTACATAATTCAAGTAGTTAAAAAACCAGGCTGGAAGAGGGGTGGCAAAGAAGAAGAGCAGAGGACAGGGTGGGAAAGCTATCCCAAGAAGACTGAGTAAAAACGACTCCAAATCATGGCCAAATAACCTTCCTCCACCTAGATGACAACCCCAAAGCCAGGAGAGAAAGGTGGGCCAACTGCGAAGTGCCTGTTTCTCAGAGATTCCACCCAGCAGTGTCCTTGGGGAGCTACAGTGGAACGCGGAGAGAAAAACCAATGTTGGTTCAAACAAAAGCTTATTAACAAGTGAAGGAAACAGGAAGTGAAGACACAGACGGCTAGCTCTGAGGACTCGGCATGCACCCCAGTCTAGCAATCTCTTAGGATCATGATCTCATGTTTCCCCTATTTCTGAAATTAAAAAAAATTTTTTTTGTTATTATTTTTTGAGACGGATTCCCCGTCTGTTGCCCAGGCTGGAGTGCAATGGCACAATCTCAGCTCACTGCAACTTCTGCCTTCTGGGGTCAAGTGATTCTCCTGCCTCAACCTCCTAAGTAGCTGGGATTACAGGGGTCCACCAGCACACTCAGCTAATTCTTTTATTTTTTAGTAAAGACTAGGTTTCACCATGTTGGCCAGGCTGGTCTCAAACTCCTGACCACAAGTGATCTACCTGCCTTTGCCTCCCGAAGTGCTGGGATTACAGGCGTGAAGCCACCTCGCCCAGCCTGAGCAGATCTTTTACAAGATAGGAGTGGTCAGGACACACAGGGAGAGGCTTTTACGCCCTCTCCCTCTGGAGCTGAGATTAAAACTGCAGTGGACTTTCACCAGGGAGGAGGACAAGACAAAACCATGATGTCTTGGTGATGATGTGGCCCATCAGCAAGGCTACCAACCTGGAGAGTGAAAGGTCGCCCCACCAACCTCCCCTAGGGTGGGGGAAACAGTTGGCTTATGTTCAAATAATCAATATCACCATAACTTTTTTCTGAAATTTCATACAGCAGTGTTCTTTCTTGAGCCTAGACATAAGACTTTGCATTTAGCCATGAGACTGAAGAGTACTGCAGAGCTAACAACCAACACGTCCCGCCCAGCACTCTTTCTGTGCCCTCTCCACTTTCACGAGTTGCTGATAAAAATGTCCTGCAGGTCCAGCTCACCTTCAGTGATCTTGCCAAGCTCCGAGCTTCCCAACACTGTCTGCATCTGGCTATTCAACCTAGACTCAGTTCTTTGTTAAATCCTAGCTCTACTTCCTGCTCATATTCAGAGATCAACAATGACTTTATCAAATATCTTACCGAAATCAAGACAAGCTGAGCACATCACATACCCCTTCCTCTGCCAGTCTCATAACCTCACCAGGAAAAGAAGTGTATGATATGACAGAAGAATTAAGTAGTTCACTTTCTGTACCACTTTGTTAAATAAGCTTCTTTATGCAAAGGTAGAAAAGTTCCACACACACAGATACATGCACAAACACACATGCACATACACACAAGTACTTGTAACACATATTTGTTTTTAAGTTTCATTTAACATCCAAGTTAAGAAAGCATAGTAGGTCGGGTGCGGTGGCTCAAGCCTGTAATCCCAGCACTTTGGGAGGCCGAGGCGGGTGGATCACGAGGTCAACAGATCGAGACCATCCTGGTCAACATGGTGAAACCCCGTCTCTACTAAAAATACAAAAAATTAGCTGGGCATGGTGGCACGTGCCTGTAATCCCAGCTACTCAGGAGGCTGAGGCAGGAGAATTGCCTGAGCCCAGGAGGCGGAGGTTGTGGTGAGCCGAGATTGTGCCATTGCACTCCAGCCTGGGTAACAAGAGCGAAACTCCGTCTCAAAAAAAAAAAAAAAAAAAAAAAAAAGAAAGCATAGTATAGGTCTATGATCTAAAACAGAGATCTAGGAAATATCTAGTTTCTTTGACCAATTTAGACTATTACCTTTGCTATTTTAAAGAAAAAAAAATTCAACTTTGGTAAAGAGTTTTAAGTATTATTACAGAACTTCACTGTGAAAATTCTAAACAGAGGATTATTTATAACACATTGTATGGATTCTAAACATATTTTGGGCTGTTTCAGCCATCTACAGTTGTTTGGAATCTAAATGTTAGAGATGTAGAAGGAGAGAGGTGGCATGGGTCTAGAAGGCAAATCATTTTATGGCTGGATATGGTGGCTCATGCCTGTAATCCCGGCACTTTGGGAGGCTGAGGCAGGCGGACTGCCTGAGCCCAGCAGTTCAAGAGCAGCCTGGGCAACATGGTGAAACCCCGTCTGTACTAAAAATACGAAAAACTAGCCGGGCATAGTGGTGTGCACCTGTAGCCCCAGCTACTTGGAAGCTGAGGCAGGAGAATCCCTTGAGCCTGGGAGATTGCGCCACTGCACCCCAGCCTGGGTGACAGAAAGAGACTCCATCTCAAAAAAAGAAGAAATAATTTTATGAACACAAACATATAATACATTTTTACTTGTATATCATGTGGGAGCAGACGTGAGAATGGGGAAAGCTGTAAGGCCCGGGACATTCCACGCAGGCAACCTCAGTCTCCCCCACAGGGTCTCCCTGTGCTCCATGTTGAGAGCTGACATCATCAGGGTGGCAGCAACAGTGATCACTGCGAGGAAGCCACTTTCCCAAGTGCTTACAGTCATCACCCAGTTAGTCCTCACCACAACCCTAGGAGGGTAAATCCTCCTGCTATGCTTCTTCCATGTAGGAAACTGAGCCTCAGGGTTAAAGACATTCCCAAGTCATTGAGTGGTAATTGTGGCAGAAGCCCCCAGCCCCAGATGCACCTGACACAAAGACCTATGCTCCCAACCCCTGGGTTTGTAAGGAAAGTATATAAAGATGATTGCCTGATAATAATTCAAACAAGAAAGTCTGGGGTTTAAGTTAAAGGAGGAAGCCTTGGTTCTCATGGAAACCACTTCCAGGAAATGCCTCATGCCCTGAGCTAAGCCAGCACGTGCTAACAGATTGTCATTGGAGGAGAAGCTTTGCCATTCTACTGTTAAGAGCAAGCCCTTTACTCTGAAAAGCACAAGCATAAAAAATAAATCTTACTAATGCGTAAGAACAGTTAAGCTTGGTTATACTTGGTATAACTTAAGCACCAGATTTCAGCTGGTGCTTAAGTTATACGAAGTATGCCAGGCTTTTAGAAACGGGCATAACTCTTTCGGCCACGGCATCACTAAAGTCCTCCATTTAAGTAGGCTGTGTGTGACTGTGGCCTGAAACTGGGCCATTATTACAAGATCTCCCAGGAGGAGGAGTATTGCCTACACCTGGTGGGCCTCCTCAACGCCTTCCTCCTGACGGGTTAACCAGGCAAGCTGACAGACACTAGGGAGGATGGAGGCCACCATGTTGGGGGTGCAGAGGGCGCGTACTGCAGGAAGCCGAGGGATGCTCCACTGGCACAGGGAACAAACCACATCATTCATGATTCTAAGTATCATCCAACTCTACGTAGTTCTGCCAACCTCAGCTCTGCACTTAGGAAACACTTTGAGTGAGAAGGAGCTTAGCAGTGAGTATAGATTTTCATAAAAATTAAAGATTTTGGGAAAACAATAGCACCTTATAGAAAATGAAAAAAATAGTAGCCTCAAGCACCCAAATCCCAAACACTGGGTCAGATGACAGAGGGACACATTTTCTTGTCTGATGCCAACAAGAACGGAAATCAAGCCCTCTGTTTTACACAGCAGCGATGGTTAAATAGACTACTTTTCTGCATCAGGAAAACACAGCCTTATAAAGACTCTTTAAAGTTCAAGTTGAGTTTCAAGTAATCACTTTGCAGCAACTCTGGGAGAATTATTGTTCCTCCTGGTTGTAAGTGCCTTTTTTTTTTTTTTAAAGTAGTAAAATGGAAAACAGGCCTTAGAGAATTGTATTTCTCAAGGCCGCTGACTGCCTGCTTCCAAGCTTTTGTTAAAGAACAGAATGTGTTGAATTCTTCTAAATTGGCAGGGGATCAAGCACAACACTACATAATGAGGTAGCTGAGAACACAGTTTTTCCTATAAACACAAAGAACGAGTGAATAAGGGCATGTAATTCTCATCCGATTAAACAGGAAACATGATAAAGCAAGTTACTATAGCTGTATTTAAACCAAGTTACTGGTCTGACTTGAAAACATTTAACCCAAGGTTCTGAGGTACGCCCTATTTATAACTAATGAGTAAAAACAATAAGGTACCCAGACCTGCTATTTGTACTGAAATGCTAAAATAAGATCCTAATAAATATAATTCACCAACCCGAAAACAGACGAATCTACATTTGGGATGTGAATGATGTGAAATGGCCATTTATTTCTGTGGACCCTACTCAGTGTGTAATTGTTCACTTCATCTCAAGGCAGTATGTCCCCCAGACTCTGTGTGATGCCACCTTCTTCCACCTACTCCTTCTCTAATTCAAACCACGAATGTATCATTTCTGGGTTTCTTTCAATGTATGCAGGGAAGGAAGCGCAACAACTTTGTTGAGCCAGAAGAAATTAATATCAACATTTATAATCAGGCCAAATTTCAGTTGAGTAGGGACTTCAAAAGATTAGTTTTAATCTTAAAAAAAAAAAAAAAAAAAAAAAAGGCCAGGTGAGGTGCTTATGCTGGTAATTCCAACACTTTTGGAGGCTGAGGAGGGCGGATCATGACATCAGGAGATCGAGACCATCCTGGCTAACATGGTGAAACCCCGTCTCTACTAAAAGTACAAAAATTAGCTGGGCGTGGTGGCACATGCCTGTAATCCCAGCTACTCAGGAGGCTGAGGCAGAACTGCTTGGACCCCGGAGGCGGAGGATGCAGTGAGCCAGGATCACATCACTGCACTCCAGCCTGGGCAACAGTGCAAGACTCCATCTCAGAAAAAAAAAAAAAAGAGGACAACAGACATTTCTGACTAAATAATTATAAAATGTAGTTTTATTTATTAGTTGATTAATTTCATGAGAAAGAGAAGGAGTTTAAAAATCCAATCGCTTGGATAATTTCAATGACAGAACTGAAAAAGAACATACTTTCTATCGGTGGTTGCTGGCTTAAGCGCCTATAGTTCCGGCTGGGTCTGAGGCCAGGAGTTTGAGACCAACCAGCCTGGGCAACAGAGTGAAACCCTGTTTCTACAAGAAATTTAAAAAATAAAATAAAAAAGAACACACTTTCTTAAACCGTATGCATTACCCCAAACCATTTGGAAGTATGAGTTAATTCCTCTGATGTCACATACATGGAACTATTACGATGAGACGATATTGAGATATGTTTAAAATGGAAACAAGAAGATTACTTCTGAAAAACACAAAACCTTAGACATTTTACCAGCTGACTTGCAAAAAACAGAGAAAATGCCTACCAGTCAATACTACCGAGACTTAACCGCCAGCAAGCACGACAGACACTCAACCCAAGTTCGTGCTCTCAATTACGGGCAAATGGTCCTTTCTCATCCTTATACCATATATTTCCGTAATTTCTACAGAAACTGCAGAAAGAGTCAAGAATACTTCAACAAGTATTTAAAAGCTAGCAAAATATCTTCCTAATATTGGAAGATACAGTTCATTTTCCCTTACTGATTACATGGAGTGAGAGAGGGAAGTACGCATGAAGCTGCAGCTCTTTGAAACGGAAGTTTCTCTTTCAAACACACGTGCTTCTGTTCTCTTGACCTTAGTAAAGTCTCCACCTCCTACAGCTAACTAACAAAGAAAATCAAGCACATTTCAGGTTATGTCTGTGCAACTAGCAAAGGACATGTTTGGGAGCTGAAACTGTTATAATACTACAAATGATTGTTCTATGATGAAAAATACTTGTATGCCCAGAAACATCAAGTTCTGGCCCTGCCGCCTGACGGGTGAGCTGATCATCCAAACACCTGGCTTCTGCTTTTGGTTCTTGCTGCTCCCTAAAGCGAGAAATGAAGCTGCATGTGTCAGGCCTCCAAGATGACCCTCGTACAATGGGGAAAGTGCCCTGCCCATCCCAGAGACGTGACAATCAAAGAGATACATGTCCTGGAAAGATTTTGAGACCCATATACAAAGCAGTCAATGAAGCTCAGTATTAAACATGATCAACATTATAAGCTGTGCTGAGTAGAGGGGTCTCAAGAAACCTACAGGACATGTGGAGACCACAGGATTGTACATATGTACATCAGGCACTTGGCATCGTTTATTCTATACTAGTTTCCGCTCCGTACAGGAGGCTGGCCCATCTGGGTAACCGGGTCAAAGCTTCTAATTGAAAACCCAGTAAAATCAGTCACTCTTAGAGTGCCCTTTTCAAGAGAAGAACATCACTTTGATCATAAGAATATGTTTATCTGTCAAATGTTTATTGACTACGTACTCTGTGCATTCACTGAGACCAGCAGATGACAAAGACAGGGCCTGTGCCTAACCCCGGGTGAGTTTACGATCTTGAGTGGGAGGGTGGTGTGACATCCACCTCACTGTTCAGCTCCCTGAATGGCAACCACAGTTCCCAGTGGGTGCTCATCAGACATGTGTTGGTGGACCTGAGGCGGGCTTTGCTACACTCAGCTGGTCTCTTCTCACTGACCTCCTGGACTCCAGTGCTCAGTGAGCAGCCAGTGGAAAAGGACAGTGTTACCTTTCCCTTCCACCAGGTATTTTTCTGGGGGTTCCAGCATCTCTGAATTGATACAAAGTGCCATCTTGTTCTTCCCGCATTGAACCAAATGTCTTCATCTGACCATGGGAGGCCTCCTTAATCACGAACGCCAACATTCTGGAAGGGGATACTGTAGTGCTTCTAGCATTCCTTGGAAGGTTTTTGGAATCCCTGGTTTGGTACCCTGAGGTAGAATGTACCAAATGGAACTCTAATGGGCCACAGTACCTAAGATATTTCTCTAGAAATGAAACTTAACCACCCGTGAGTAACTTAGGTGCCAGAGCAAAGACAGCCCTATCTTTACCATATTTGTACAAAGAATGTATTTCCTTTACATTGACTAGGGAATCCCTCCAGCTCATAAATTACAAAAATGACACTTCCAAACCAACAATGAAAAAAGCGTCATCGTTGAAGGGCTAGTGCAGTATAACAGAACGCTTCATTACAGACAAAACACCATCCAGGATGCCCCCACATGCTCTTCCTTGGTTGTTACACGGTTGGAAGAAAGGCCGTGGTTAGCTATCAATTCCTCACAGCAATGAAATATTAAGCTACATAACGAGTTTAGAAATTACTTAGGCCAAATCTTGACAGTATCCCAACTACAAGTTGGTAAACACTGTTTTTAATCCCGCTAAAGAAGAGAAATGCGAACACCAAGTAAAACTTATTATAAACTACAAATATTTCAGTATTTACACTCAATATGAGTTTGACATAGTATAAACTGAAGGTCAACAGGCTCAAGAATTTATCTGAAGCACCAGGAGACAGTAAATATATGTAGTTTAGAACTACAATTCAAAAAGTAAACCCATACAAATACATTTATCAGGTCAAACAGTGTAACATACACATGCACACTCACTCATCTATCACACGGTTTCTTCTCACAGGATATAAGCACTATCAAAAACAAAACGAAAAAACACTTTAAATTAAACACTTAAATCTTTGAAAAGTCTCTATTTGGATATGCTAAACAAAGAAACAAATAACCTATTTTAGACTGCAGCCTAGGAGAGATTCTTTAAATATTCACGTATTCTAACCTGAGACAACTTTCCTTCTCAAAAGAAATTGCACTTTCCCCAAAGATACCGGTATTTAAAATTTAAGACCTATGCTGAGCCACCAATTCCAACACACACCTGGCAAAAGTGCTTATCAAGAAAGAAGTATCAAAAAGTTATTAAGAAATGACGTTTCAAGGCCTAAGTGGAATGTTAAAACACAAACCTGCATGAAACGAGGGAAAATTTATTTTACAATACTGAAATAACTGTCATTGACAAGAGTCATGATTAATTTTGGAGCACAGCAAAATTAAATCATCCCTATACTTTAACACATTTTAATATTTGTTTATAGTAAAATAACAGTTTGGCACTTAGCAGCTTTTGTGTTATTGCATCCCATATTATGTGGCAATTTTATTTTATAAAACGTTATCTGATTTCTGCAGTTACGGTGTCAATGAACTGAATAAAACAAAACAAAACACTATTTTTATAAAATGAATTTATCAAGTCATGCAGGTACTGATAATATTGCAAGAGGAACACATTCACTCCTAAATAATGAACTGTCTCCTTGGAGAGGCCTGGTGTAGACTGGAGAAAAAAACTTTAAATGTCAGAAATTTAAAAAGCAGAGGATTGCTGACGATCATGGCTTTAATTGGATGTCAGTTACTGTTTTAACGTTCCCCAGCTGCAGCTGCTGAATGCCAAGGTACTGTTCTGTACAGCATATTTCACCAAAGCAAATTTAGTTTCCCAGCAATTTGCTTCTTCTAAAATTAATGTCTAGTTGTAAAAAGAAAAATCTTCCTTTCTTTGCAGAGGCCACATAGTTTGCTTTCATTAAAAGATCTCCACAGTATCACTGGAAAACGTGCAGACAACAGCTGACTGGTAAACGAGGCAATTCCAAACTTGTTTTCACCGACATATTAAACATGATTAATTACATGGCTGCGGCACATCTGGCCTGCTGCCTCTGGTATATAAGATAAAAACCTTACACCTTCTCTTACAAGGTATCTTCTGGCCAAAATGGAGCATTAATGTGCCACATCTCAACACTCTTTAATCCCACAGGCACAGCATCTCTCAGCAACTTCTGTAGCACTATATGACTTCCAGAAGGTGTTAGAAAAAAAAAATCACAGTTAGGTCACCCTTTTTTATGTCTATGGGCGGGAGAGCATAAGTGATGTTTCATATGCACATTAACTGCATATAAACATTCCATACAGGAAGTTCCTAGAAGAAGTTCCTGTTATCATTTTACAACCAAAGGATACCTTTATACATGTTAATAAGACAAAATGCGGCTTCTTACAACCATATTCCAAGAGGAAAAAAAAAGCTGTAGAAAACAATTAAAAATGAAGTACTCTATATTAAATTGATTAGAAATTTGATATTGCATAAAATTCAATTTAGGAAGTAATGAAGCACTTTGACGCCCCCGATTTCACACTAGGGTGGAATTCAAGTGGAAAACAAATTATCTTACAAGATACGTTCCACGAACAAAAGACATTTTCCCCCCAGTGAGAGGTGGGGGAAAGTGAGTTGAGGTGGGAATGAGAGAGAGTAAAGGAGGGAAGGAGGAAGAGATGAATTTGCTCTACTATGAACAGAAGGAAATTAAGTTGAGGTAGTTTATTCTACCAGCCAAACTTTACTCAGAGCATAATTTGTCTAAAACTCTAGTGAATGCCACTGGGAAACTTCTATAACAAAGACTAGATTCTTAACACAGATTCGCATCCTAAGACAAGTTTTCAAACCTTAAACAGTAGTAAACAAGACTTTGTGTGCTTTCAGACAGGTTGTATTAAAAAGTTTTTGATCCCTACATATTTTTTCTGGATAGCATTTTTGTTTTTGTTTTTTTTAAGCCATAGCAGACCTTTATTATTTGTCTGACTCAGGTCTTTCTTTTATAAAATCTCCTACTCACTAATATCCTCACACTTAGAAAATGGTTTTGATCACTGAAAAGGCAGAATGGCACTGCAGGAGACGCTTCCCAGCTCCACTGGTACTACCCCAGAAAGGATGGCATGACACGTCTTAATCTAAGTCAACACAGAAGTGAGCAACTTCCTTCAGTTCACATGAGGGCTGCAACCTGACTCATCAATCTACTGAATCTTTACATTACTAAGATAAAGTTATAAAAGAGAAATTCTAACTTCGTTGCAATTCATCATGATATAGTTTTAAAAAGATTCTTAGGACAGACTTCTAGGAATAAATGGAGACTAACTGGCATACAGTCCAATCTAACATTTTAGGCACGAACCTTACTTTGTTGGGCAGGGTTAGGCATGATATATCCTTCCAAGTGCAGTAGAAAAGCAGTCTTGGCATGTTTGGATATGTTGATTTGCATATACAGATTTTGTTTGTTTGTTTGTTTACCAAAGCTACATATTTGAACACAGCAGTCAGACATGAGTTCCCGTCAGGGAAAATGCACCTTAGTATTTTAACTTTGATAGTTTACATGATACCAATTCCCACTCCCTTTTCCTTTTGATATTTACTAGCCTCCAGTGTCTACAGACACACCTCAGTGGAGGAACTGACTCCTCCCAGGTAGTTTTTCAACAGTTCTGTGTTCTCCCAAACAAGAGCTGAAGCTCAAGTTTCTAAGCCTCATAAAACCACCAGAGTTACCATACCAAAGCCCAGCACACAGAGTGAGTTTCAGCCGCTGTCTCCGCTTTCCCTTTCGCAGCTATGTTATGGTGCTCCTGGGTTAGGATCGCGCTGTCTGCTCTGTTCCTCCTCAAGGGGAATGAACACGAATACGGAATAAGCCTTGCTGAAGTTGCAGGCGGAAAAGCTTGCAATTTGCAATGCGTAAGGCCGCACACGCGGTGCGGCGAAGGTCGGATGGAAGGAGTGGTTTAGTGTGGTGCCAGGTTCCGGTGCTTCTTTTAAACTCACGCACGTAGTCATAATTGGTACCTAAGCCGGGGAAATAAGCAAGGGTGAGACAATGTGCCCAGAATCACCAGGAAACAGTTCCAAGAAAATCACCGTAACACTCTCACCTGTATCAAGATCTCCAATAACATAAATACTGGCTCCTATAGGTACAGCTCCATAAACAAACGATGAACTGGCGGGGATGCATAAATTCTGGTCGTTAAGATAGATCCACCTGCAAACAAAGACAGCGCACAAAATTAAGGAAATCAAAAGGATGACAACAGTGTCTAGGGAGACTGACACAGCAAACTTGGTGAGTCATCATCAGTACCAGGCACTGTACCAATCTCAACCCCACGTTCCACTGCCAGGTCACCACCGACACGCTGCCAGTTGCTACACACAGGAGTTTTGTCTGTGCTCGAATGAGACATGTATTGAGTCACAAACAACATGTGCTTTCCAACCTGCTTCTGCTCAGTACAAGGTTGCAGAGATTCATCCAAGCTGTTGTTGGCATCTGTCATTCCTTTCTGTTTCTTTCTAAGCAGTACTCCATCATATGGATGTACCAGAATTTGTTGGTTTTTCAGACAGGGCCTCCCTCTGTTGCCTCAGGCTGGAGCGGAGTGGTGCCATTACAGTTCACTGCAGCCTCAACCTACCAGTTCAGGTGATCCTCCCACCCTAGCCTCCCAAGTAGCTGAGATTACAGGTGTGCACTGTCATGTTCAGCTAATTTCTGCTGCTGCTTCTTTTTTCTAAATAAACACGGGATTTTGCCATATTGCCCAGCTGGTCTTGATCTGCCCACCTTGGCCTCCCAAAATGCTGTATTACAGGCATAAGCCGCCGAGCCCGCTCCAGAATTTGTTATTCATTCGCCTGTCGATGTTGCAGTTTTTGGCTATTGTGAATAAGGCTGTGAGGAACATTAGAGAGCAAGTCTTTTGTGTAAACTTAGGAAATTGACAGGCTATACGGTAAGGGTATTTTCTACTGGGGAAAAAAATGTCCCACTGCTTTCCAAAGTGTTGTACCATAATTTTGCATCTGAATTAGCAATGTCTAAGAATTCCAATTGCTCAGAATTATTGTGAGATCTCAGGTCTCAGTATTATATTTTTAATTTTAGCTATTTTAATGGCGTGGACTTCCCTGAAGACTAATGAACATCTCTAGATATGCTTACTGGTCATTTTATGGATTTTTTTTTTTTTTTTTGAGACAGGGTCTCACTCTGTCACTCATCTAAGTTGGAGTGCAATAGTGCAATCACAGCTCACTGCAGTCTCAATCCCTTGGGTTCTAGTGATCCTCTCACCTCAACCTCCCAAGTAGTTGGGGTCACAGATGTAGACCACCATACCCAGCTAATTAAAATTTTTTTTCATATAGATGAGGTCTTTTTTTTTTTCTTTCTTTTTGAGACGGAGTTTCGCTCTTGTTACCCAGGCTGGAGTGCAATGGCGCAATCTCGGCTCACCGCAATCTCCATCTCCTGGGTTCAGGCAATTCTCCTGCCTCAGCCTCCCGAGTAGCTGGGATTACAGGCATGTGCCACCATGCCCAGCTAATTTTTTGTGTTTTTAGTAGAGACTGGGTTTCACCATGTTGACCAGGATGGTCTCGATCTCTTGACCTCGTGATCCACCCGCCTCGGCCTCCCAAAGTGCTGGGATTACAGGTGTGAGCCACCGCGCCCGGCTACAGATGAGGTCTTACCATACTACCCAGGCTGTGTCGGGCTCCAGGGCTCCAGTGATCCTGTTGCCTTGGTCTCTTAAAGTGCTGGGATTGCAGGTGTGAGCCACTAGACCCAGCCTCATTTTATATTCTTTCATAAAATGTCTGTTCAAAGGTTTGCTCATTTTCAAACTGGGGGCTGTGTGTGGTGGCTCATTCCTATAATCCCAATACTTTGGGGGCTTGAGGCAGGTAGATCACTTGAGCCCAGGAATTTAAGACCAGCTGGACAACATGGTGAAACCCTGTCTCAACAAAAAATACAAAATTAGCCAAGTGTGGTGGCAACTGTCTGTGGTCCCAGCTACTCAGGAGGCTGAAGTGGGATGATTGCTTGAGCCAAGGAGGTCAAGGCTGCAATGAGCTGAGATCACGCCACTGCACTCCAGCCTGGGCAAAAGTGAGACCCTGTCTCCAAAAAAAAAAGGATGTAGCAAGACTATCTCTACAAATATATATATTTTTTCCATTGGGTTTACTGTCTTCTTACTGAAATATAAGATTCTTTCTATCCCATGGATACAAATACTTCATTACGTACAAGTATTATGAATTTTTTTTCCTAGCTTGTAGGTTGCCTTTTCATTTTCTTAATGGAATCTTTTGAAGAACAGAAGTTTCTAATTCTGATGAATTCCAGTATATCCTTTTCTTCTTTTACGTCATGGTTCCTGTGTCATTCTAGAAAATCTCTGCCTACCCTAACATCATAAAAATTTTTCTCCTATGCTCTCTTCTGAAAATTTTACAGTTTGATCTTTTACATTTAGGTCTATGATCCCCTTCGAGTTAATTTTTTGTGTCTGGTATGAATCACCGTTCACTTTCTTCCATACGGATAGCTAGCTGTTCCAGCACCATTTGCTAAAGGCTTTTCTTTCCCCACTAAATTGCCTTGGCACCTCTGTTGAAAATCAATTTAATAACCACTAAAAGGATTTGAGGCTCTATGAGGAAGTGGTTGATCCGGGAGCTGAGGTAGAGAAAATACAAGATGGGCCTAGAGCATCCGGTTGTGCCAGATAGAAAGTGCTTAGAAAGGCTGGGGGTGTGTCAAAGGACACGGAAGCCATGGTGAAGCAGCTCCTGACAGCTGAGGGTGCAACTATGTGAGCAAGAAAGTCAATAAGGATGATGCTGGATTTATAACCGAGGGAATAAAATAAATACCCATGAATCCATATACTGTAAGTAACTGGAAAACATTAATAGGAAAAAGGGACAAGTTTCCTTTACAGAAATATTCCAATTAATAAATGCAGAAGGAATGACGGAAACAAAATCACCGTCAGGCAAACACCACAATAATGCCTTCTCCAGGCCAGACCTACCGATGGACGCTAACATGAGTGACTGAGAGTTTAAGGAGAAAATGGTTATGCAGATTCTCACGTTACCTCCACCAAGATATTTATTAATTACAACAACAAAAACAGTTTGTTTTCTGGTGGAGAAATCTAAGAAACACCACCTTGCCCACGCCATCAAGGTTAGCGTCAGCAGCAATGAGGCACGTCAACGTTCTCCCTGATACGATGCAGAGAAGTGCATACCATGACTTCTGCGGTACTGCCAAACTGCATAAGCTCAGTCTACTCGCAAGAAATCATTAGATAAATCCAAATCAAGAGACCCTACAAAAAAACGATGGAGCAGTAGTCTTCAAGAGTGTGAAGGTCATGACATTCAAGGAAAGAATGAAGCAGCACCACAGATTAAAGGGGTCTAAGCAAACACAGTATCTGAGCGCAATGCAGCATCCTGGACTGGGTCTGGAAACAGAGAAAAAGGCATCAGAAGAAAAGCTGGTGAAACTCCAGTAAGTTTGCCGTTCACTTAATAATACTGGACAATGTGAATATCCTGGTTTAGCTGCTTGTACTGCAGTCACTAGGAGAAGCTCAGTAAAAAGGCCTATGGAAATGGGAATACTTTGACTATTTTTGCAACTTTTCTACAAGTCTACAATATTATTCCAAAATAAAATTTTATTTCTTTTCTTAAAAAAGAGTAAATCTATACCCTGCTATGTAATAATACCATTCGAGGGTAGATGAATGATTGCCTGTTAATAGCTAACAGGCATAGCCAGTCACAGCGGACTTCAGTAGGACCTTGGGAGTGCATCTAAATGGTCTTCAGAGTTAACCAAGGTCCAGGCCCATACTCACTGGAGCACACAGTCATATGGCCATCACTCCATCCCTAACTCTATGCTGCGAAGCAGCCAAGGCATCTCAACGTCAAAGATAAATGTACGATTATTTCCCGAAGATTCCCAAAGAACACCACTTTTATTTCAATGAACACTCTTCCCAGACTCTTCTAAAGCAGGTAGCTTCCACATTTAGAATTCCAAGAAACACAAAAGCCTAATGATTTGTCCAAGATCACAGGACAACTCAGAAACAAAGCTAAGCACCACACTTCTTTTTTTTTTTTTTTTTTTTTGAGACGGAGTTTCGCTCTTGTTACCCAGGCTGGAGTGCAATGGCGCAATCTCGGTTCACCGCAACCTCCGCCTCCTGGGTTCAGGCAATTCTCCTGCCTCAGCCTCCCGAGTAGCTGGGATTACAGGCACGCGCCGCCATGCCCAGCTAATTTTTTGTATTTTTAGTAGAGACGGGGTTTCACCATGTTGACCTGGATGGTCTCAATCTCTTGACCTCGTGATCCACCCGTCTCAGCCTCCCAAAGTGCTGGGATTACACTTCTAAAACCATTCATCTAACATTTGATTCAACTAACATTTGAATGTTGATGGGTGTCAGACCTTTGAAAGAAAGTGTTTGAAAAACAAAAGAAAATGTAGCTTTCTCTAAAGGCAGCCTGATGGGGGCAGCTCTGGGTAGTTAAACTAGAGAAAACAGCCATCTTTCTGGCTACAGAACTCAGGAATCTGGAAAAGGGATCTTGGGGCAACCAGGATCTCCAAAGTGTGAGTGAAGAACCTGAGAAAGGAGAGAGGTACAAAGCACCCCTCAATTTGAGCATACCCACTCATCTCAAGTCTTCAACTAACCCTGGAACCATGTATGCTTATGACTCAGGCTTCGAGAGCTGGACTGGGAGTTCGGCTGCCACCCATGGCAGGTGGCACGGCTTGCACTTAAGTCTCACCAAGTCAGCTGCCCACTAAAACTCAGCAACACTCTAAAGCAATGTAAGAAAATTCAGGCTGGGTACGGCGGCTCACACCTGTAATCCGAGCACTTTGGGAGGCTGAGGTGCGTGGATAGCCTGCAAGAGTTCGAGACCAGCCTGGCCAACACAGTGAAACTCCATCTCTACTAAAAATACAAAAAATTAGCTGGGTGTGGTGGCACGTGCCTGTAATCCCAGCTACTCAGGAGGCTGAGGAAGGAGAACTGCTTGAACCCAGGAGGCAGAGGTTGTAGTGAGAGTGCACCATGGCACTCTAGCCTGAGAGACAAGAGCAAAACTTGGTCTCAAAAAAAAAAAAAAATTCAAGGCTTCAACAACATA